TCTGAATGGCAAAGCAATCCGGCTATGTCCGCTATGGAGTATTTTTATTTACTCGAATGGTTGTTATTTTGGCCCAATTTAAAATCAGGTTCATCTAACTGCACTCCTAACCTCTTATTTGTAAGCTTTATCCATTTAAATTTTGGTTTTTATTTATATGTTAATTAATTTTTTCACCAATTATCCCTATAGATATAAGATGTTATCACTTTAGGTCTTTTTGCAGTCTCCGTTAGCTGCTTTCTAGCATTATAACCTCACTATTAGCTGGGTTGAACGATAGATACCTTGTGGAGCATACCGAATCTTGCTTCCTCAGTATAGTCGTGATAATTTCTAGCAGTGGCTCGTTGATTGGTGCATTTGCAGGCATTCCTTCAAATTACTTTATATTCCTGAGTGCTTTGCACTCTCTAAACACATTTAGTTATCAAAAACAGTATCAGCTCTTTTCAGGGTTAATTTACTCATCTAATCCATCAGGACAGGATTTTATCTTTCACTTTCTATCATCGCTATATGTGCATAGATAGACCTTTTTGGGTAAATTTAGCGTATAACTTCATTTCAATGCTCTAGTGGCTTACTTTGAGATTCGTCTTATTTTAGTATGGGCAGCCCAATGTAAAAACTTGAATGCTTAAAAATTATATTTTTCAACTGCAATACGAAAGCTTTCAAAAATCTAGAACAAAATTCATATATCATCAGTGTCACTTCAAGAAATGGCAACTTGTAAACTATTATACTAAACACCCAATTATCTGGAATCCTCTTCCGTGTTTCACTTAAATTGAAGTTACTAGACTATCCTGATCTTTAATTCTGATTTTTGTTGACTTGGGCACTTAAAGAATGTCGGACTCCCGTTTGTTACGTAAATTTTGCTATAATTTTATAATCCTTCCGATTACCAAAGGATGTCTGATCGCGCATCTATACTGATATGAATTACAGTATCTTGAATCTCCTGGTCATTCGAATATTGTTCTGATTTATTCTTCTTTAAAGTATGGTCAAATGTGGAATAAATCCGAATTATTGCATGGCTGTACGTTTTCCTTATTGAGCTATCTTTGTTTACTAGTCTTGCTGATTTTTATTAGTCCTTAAGTCTGATATCAATTTGTACTAAACTATGGCTATGGACTACCAGCGCTTCTAACAACCTGGCTATCTGTCTCATAAACCCTTCAAGGAATTCAATTATAATTCCGTTCCTACTCATGATTTAAAATGTTGGGAATATTTGCGCTTATATATATGATATCAATCAACTCAAGAAACTCGTATCCACCCTGGGCTATTTTTATATCCTATTAACGATTAAATCTCTTAGCTCATTTACGATGTTATTAAGGGTTCTAACTCATGAGCCGATCAGGTAACAAACTAATCTCTCTTAACCAAAATTTGATTAGATTGGACTTATCTAATTCGACTAATTCCGATAAGAGCCTTATCTAATTGTTTTTGAGCCTATAATTCACCAATGTTTATCTTTTTCATATTTATCCCCGAAATCATTTGCCATCATCTACTCTTCATTCTATGAAAAAGATGCACAAACTTTACAAGGAAGCCTGTAATCTGTTTGGACGCTACTCAGCTGCTAAAGCTGCCGCCGCTATCGCTAAGGCCTTGACAAATCCTCAGCTCCCTTCTTCCTCAATGCAGTCTTCCCAGTCAGATTCAATTGGCCAAGCATCTTGTCCCAACACCTCACAGGATACTAAGCTTCCGGTGGATAACCTTGCCAACTCATCCATTTCACCGTGCCACTCACAAAATCCTCAATCTTCGTCTCCACCCCTTTCAGTTGACTCTACCTCTGCGCCCCAATCCCTTCCAGTCTCACTGCAAAGTCCCATTTCCCTCGATCCACCTTCACTCTCCACATTGCCTTCATCATTAACTTCCTTGTCCAGCAATCCGCATGAAAATCATACACCTATAGCCTCGCAAGCGGATTCGCATGTATATTCCGAAGGTGTTCTTCATCCTTTCGGGTCTAAAGACCCATCAAACTTAACAAGCATTTCAGAAGTTATTATTTCAGATCATGACAATCATCAATGTACTGTTGCTGAGTTAGTTTCTTCACTTTCTTCTCCTCTACCTCCCCCTCCATCACCACCATTACCGCATTCTCGATCGCCACCACCCCTTCCTGTACAATTGACAGAGATTTCCACATCCGCCTCGTTATTTGAGCGTAATCAACAAGCGGGCAAACTTCTTGACTCTGCAAGACGACAGTAAGCTTTGTTTCATATATATATATATATGTATATATACATATATACGTTAAGAAAATATAGGTTTTGAAGAATCTATATAATTTCCCATCTTTACACCTTAGTATTAGGCTTGGTGGAACCTCAACTTATTTCATCTTCTGGCACAAAGAAAATAATGAAGTAGCAAGATAGGTCATATCATTAAGTCAAGGTAGTTAACATTTCGGCCAACCACTATTCTTGATTTCGTAGTTAATTTTGTTAAATAATTTTTTGGCTCTGCTGATGTCCGTCATATGACAGACAGATAATGCCACGGATGAATCTTGACCATAGGACTAGTTTTTGAGTACAAATAGAGTCAATCTCAGGATAACCTTAGTTTGTTCTCCCATGAGGTCAATTTAAGAATATTTTCTAACTTTTTTGTTCTTATTAATTTGCAACAGGAGTATGAAATATTTTGATAATATAATGCAGTGCTTAGTATGATCAAGTTCTCATTTCATCCAGTGCACTTCATTAGGGGTTTGTTAGGATGTAAAAATTTATCCGAGGGTTCAAATTGAAGTTTAAAAGGCGACCTGAGAATTTGCTAGAGACTAAATTGAGTAGTTGCTTTATTATATTTCTTGTATTATGCATCATTAGAATGCC